GGGGGGGGAAGTTCTCTAGAGTCAAAATCCTTTTATTCCATCTCCTCCTCCCTCCCAGTTCTGGCCACGCTGTTGCCCAGTGCTGGGTGTAAAGGCGGGAGGTGTGCAGGAGGTGTGCAGGAGCGCCGGGCGGCTCCTGGAGGGGCCGTGCTCTCTGCAGCTGCGCTCTCCATGTGGGACACCCTCTTTCTAGGCAGACCCTTTAGGTCTTGCTTGTGACCGTGCTCTTGTTTGGGCTACTGATTCTCTTTGAAAGGTGTTTATAATTGTTGAATTATCTTTACTAACTGCTGACAAAAACCAGGTGTTTGTTGTTTGCTGATGGAGTGATGAAAACTGAGTAAAAACTGATGGAAATTTAAAGTATATTGAGAGTCATTAGGATTTGTTTTCGACGTGGGCAGGTCACAGTCCCGCAGTTGTGGGAGCTGTCTTGGTTACAGGATGTATGGAAGGTGTGATAATGTGTGTTCATCTGTGCTAATAAGGGTGTTTCTGGGTTACAGACATAGCAATCGGGAGGAGAAGGGGCGAGCTAGAAGCCCTTCCCCTAAAAAGAGCTATCGGCGGCAGCATGCTCCGGGCTACACCAGGTAGGCGAGATCTTGTCCCTGTGCTTTGGGTGGAAGTTGTCCTGGTGACTGTGAGGCAGCTGGGTGTAACCTGTGAACCAAATTTTACTCTGTTAACTAAAACCGATTGGGTCAAAGTTGGATGGAGGGTCCCGAAGTGTTTGTTTTGGTGCTCTTGAGCTTGATGGTTCGGGAACGCCTTGGGCAGCTTCCCAAAGCAATTCACGGGGCTGCTGGTTCTCCGTGGGCCAGGCAGCAATGTGAAGGCAGGCTTTGTCTGTTCACTAGAAGCGTTCTGTTTCACTGTCATCAGGAAAATATGACCTTGACAGCATCATCTTGCCAGTCAATTAAAAACAAGACGGCTGAAATAAGGGAGAAAACGGTCGCTGTAGGGGCGTGGTAAAGCCGAACACTTAGACATGAACTTACAGGCTTTGCTGATCGGCTGGGAAAGGAAAAAACGTGTTAAACACCCCTAATTTGGAGGGTTGTAAATCATTTTAAGGGATGGAAAGCAAGAGGAGGGTGAGGTTCATCGTGCCATCGATTCGCAGCAGTGGTGTTTTCTACGCCAACAGGAAGATCTCTCCAGAGGAGCTGGAGCGTAAACGCCAGGAAATGATGGAAAATGCCAAGTGGCGGGACGAGGAGAGGGCAAACAACCTCAGGAAACACCGAAAGGAGGAGGAGCTGGAGCGAGAACTGGAGAAACTGGACTCCCGAGATGGGAAGTTCTTCAGGTGAGTGTCCTTTACTGTCTGCTTTGGGGGAGAGAGGCCGCAGCTTCTCGGGAGCGAGTGGCGGCCTCCACATCTGAGATGTTTCAGATAACGGTACAGATCCATCCCTGCTGTGCTTTGCAGTAGAACCAGTGACACCTGCTGCTCCCAAATTCTCCTCTTAACCCAGAAGGGGGCTGTTTGTGTGAGGGCCGTGGTAGCCAGACTGGGAAACTGGTGATCGGTTATTTTTTGCCATCCTGTAGAGAGGCCCGGTGGTGTTTTACATGCAGACAGTAAAAAGTGCTCTGGTTTTAGGAGCTTGCAGCAGTTCTAGGCCTGCAAGTCCTCTGGGGGTCTGTGTGCCAAGAGCTGGTGGGGCTGAAACCTGCGCTCAACAGGGAGCGAGACCGTTTCTGAACGCAGGGGGTAACTTCCAGTCCCTTGTGCGCGTGGCAGGCGAAGGCAGTTGGAGTGGCACGAGGCCTTCCAGAAAGTGCCAGGAGCGTAAGAAAGCTCCTGCGGCAGCGCCACGTGTTTTGGAGTCGCTGCAGCATCGAGTTCTCCGTGTAAATTAACCTGTAAATCAATCAGGGGACAATGGACGCTTAATTCTTGAAGCTGCCCAGAGCTGGGGTCACGTAAGGGCGGCTTAAAATCACAGTAGATTTTCTCCGTGAGCAAAACCTCTTGTGGAGAGAGGTTTTTGTGTGTTTCCCTGCGCAGAAGCAGCTGGTTGAGCTCTAACAAACTTGGGGTGTGTTGGCGTGGGGGTTGAGGAGGGAGAGGGGCACGAGGAGGTCGGGAAAGGAGAGCAGCGTGATCCGAAGTGGTCGCCGCAAGCGAGCGGTCGAGGATCCCTTCTCCCCCCCGCAGCCACCGCCGCCGTCTGCAGCACGAGCTCTGGCGTTGGGGCTCCCCGAGGAGCGCTGCTCTCGGCGAGGAACACAATGCTTCTCTCTCGTTTGCAACCAAGTCCCCTGTGACGGGATCGTTTGTAATTAACGATGAAGTTCTATTTGGAGACTGGAGGAGACTCGAGAGCTACTGAAAGTGTATTTCTGAGCACTGACCTTAAATAAGGCGTTGGATCTGTTACAAGCCAAAGTAAAAGGCATTCAGCTCTTGCAGTGCAGACTTTAATAGCGAATGATTTGCTGTTTTCTCTGTTAGATGAATTCAGGTGGATGGCTTGAGGGCAGTGAGTCCTGCTAGAAAGGGTGTAATGTTTGGAAAGAGATTCTGATTTCTTTCTTTGGTTCAATTTTCTGCAGTCGCTTAAAACTAGAGAGCGCAGCTACTTCCACCCTAGAAGACCGGGTGAAACGCAATATCCACTCCCTGCAGAGAACTCCCGCTGCCTTGGAAAAAAACTTTATGCAGAGATGAAACTTGTTCTTCCTCCGCTCCTGTGCGGAAGTTAAGTGGACACTGATTCCCGAAGGTGAGAGCCCTCCAGCACAGACCCCCTGCTCCCTACACAGACAGGTACCGTCTCCCAGAGAGGCGCTGGATTTCTGTCCTGCAGCCCACAGCGTCTTCTGGACTTCTGGCATCGTGGATACGTTCGTAACGAGTATGGCCTTGCAAGCAAACCTTTGCTGGAGCGCTCGGGAGCTTTGGTGTGCTGTTTTTAACGTGTTGCCAGGTCTTTCCCTTCTCTCTCTACCTTGATGGTATCGGGTTTGTATGTTGTTATTACCCGATGATGCCAGGTGGTAACTGCTTTCTACATTGGGCAGATTGTCCGAGCTCTTTATAGGACAGAGAAAACCCCTATTTTTGTTAGTCCTTAGAAAGCCGAGCAGGACACGTTCACATTCGTGAGTTAATTTCACGGGATTTGCTAAAGCCGCGCGAGGAACGTCCACAGCCCTGCTCAGTGCTGTCACCGTTCCAGGCGGGGGTTTGGAGGGTGACGTTAGACTCGTCTGCACAGCACCTGTAGCCGGTTTTGGGTCGTTCACCGATTTCAGGGGGGTTTGACCCAAAGGAGCCGCTTGGAAGGGGAAGGAGCCGAGTGGAGCGTGGCTGCTGCGGCCCGTGTTCCTCCGGGATGCTGGAATGTGAGTCCTGTGTGTCTGTACAGCGGTCGGGACCCGTTTGGTGGTTGGGTTTTGGGGTTGGTTTTTTTAAATTAAGAAACTTCACTGTCGTTTTTTTAAATGTTCTTTGT